GATCTTAGAAGAATTGAAAAAGAAATGTCAAAATAGATTCAAAACAAACAATAAAAATTTAAAAATGCTGAAGTGAGTGAAATTTTTATTAAATATTTTTTATAACAGTTTTATACTTAATAATAATTAAAATTTGTTAAATTTTTGTTATAAAAATATTTATTAAATTTATATAACAATTTTTTTGTACAAAATTGTAATTAAATATTTTATTTACAGAAATTTATCAAATACACAAAACAAAACACAACAAGAGAAACGTCAAAATTTAAGTCCAATATATATTGTAAACGGTGGAGATTAAAAATGCAGATTAATTTAATCTCGTTCTCTTAATCTCACAATGTAAACGTAGTATAACCCTTAAAAATAAATTTCCCACAAAGGAAATGACCAAAATTTGAAATATTTGTCAAATATTTTATATGTAAAATATAAGAATCAAGCTACTTCACATGCATGAATCAGATCATGCTAGAGGATCGAACAAATCTTAATTATATTACCGTAAGTAGTTTTAACTGCAATGGAAACAAGATATAACTTATTATTCGATAATATGATGAAAAACTTCTAAATTTTTAGTGAACATTTAAATTAACTGATATTATATATATCTATCAGATCTACAATTTTTCAAATGAGCTATAAAAATCAATCAAGGTACGCCCTTTGTATTAAGAAATACCAACTGTTGGCTTTAGAAAATAGTAGATTAATTTATAAAAGAGACATCATTTTTATTAATTAAAACAGAGGCAACAATATAATTAACTATTTAATCTTATAAGTAAATTTAAAATTATGTAGTTCCTATTGTATTTGCGGAGCATATACATTTTTTAACCAATTTTTAATTTTAAACTTCAGCTGGTAATAGATGCAATATATTCTTTCTTTCTTAAAAAAAACTTATATTTTGAATTTGTTTTCATTTTTGAATTTAATCATATACATAAATATATATATTACATATTAGAATATACATTTCAGAATATATACATGATAATTATAATGTATGGTATATATAAATATATTTAAAACTATTTAAGAAATTAACAATACATAATTTAAAATGCCTTCATATTTATGTCTATTATAATATATTAGGTTTGCTCCACGAGCTCCTTGTAGTAACTTACAGTAGCTATTCAGTAGCTAAAGTTACTACGAGTGGCTCGTGGAACAGACCTAATAAACTTACAAAAATTACGTGCTCCAATTCCGTCGTTGCTGTCTTGACTTCCGGTATTAAATGTTAAATGTATTAAATGTATTTTTTAAAAGTGATAACAATCTGTTTCAACCAGACTTAATACTGTTTTTTTTATAACTCTTAAAGAAAAAATTACTGGTAATATATATCTTTAATGTTCACATTGTAAAATAATCTTGTATTCAATGATGTATGTTAGAATGTATGTGCAAGTATGGGCTTCTTAAATGTCATACACTTTTTAATCGGCTGTCTGCTAAGTTTTTTCTCACTGTTATCAGTGTTTGTTTTGCTAATTGCCTTATAATCTGGTCTTTGTTGTCGTTACTAAAAATATTATGTCAATTTATAAGGATTTACCCGAGGTAAAATTTTTACCATTAAACTTACTATATAATTTTGTTATTAATTTTGTTATTAAAAGGAGCATCCAAGGAAATTAATTCCAGAGCTTTGTAAACTATTTTACAATTTAGGTTGGGTCACCGGAACAGGTGGAGGTATCAGCATTAAATTCAAGTTGGTTATAAATTAAATTAAAAAAATATATAAAATGAATTAAAAAATTATTTCTCAAGTAATGAAATATACATCGCTCCTTCCGGCGTTCAAAAAGAACGAATTTTACCAGAGGATTTATTTGTGCAAGATATAAAAGGAAACGACATTCAAATACCACCTGATTATAAATGGTAAATTTGAGCTTTATATAAGTGTCAATCTATGTCAGATTTCATTTCAATATAGTTTAACGAAGAGTCAGTGTACACCGCTTTTTATGTTAGCTTACAGACATCGTTCAGCAGAAGCAGTAATTCATACGCACTCACAAAGTGCTGTAATGGCTACGTTGTTGTGGCCAGGAAAAGAATTTCGATGTACCCATTTAGAAATGATTAAGGTACAATCACTTTAATAAAGTGGAAGCTAATATATAATAATGATATTTCAAGGGTATTTATGATGAAGAGCAAAAACGGCATTTGCGGTATGACGAGCAACTGGTAGTTCCAATAATTGAAAACACTCCATTCGAGCGTGATTTGGCCGATTCTATGTACGCTGCTATGATGCAGTATCCAGGATGTAGTGCTATACTCGTACGTCGACATGGTGTGTATGTTTGGGGAGAAAGCTGGCAAAAAGCAAAAACAATGTAAATTTCACATATATGTAAATTGAGATATGTTTTATTTTTTTTTATTTATAGGGCAGAATGTTATGATTATTTGTTTTCTATAGCTGTGGAAATGAAAAAATCTGGACTTGATCCTGAAATTTTCCAGACGTCGTAAAATTTTTCTATAGCTGTGGAAAAAAAAATCTGGACTTGATCCTGAAATCTTCCAGACGTCGTAAAATTTGTTTAAACTCATAATGTTTGTCACTATTTTCCATATAAATAAGAGACTTTATATGATTTACAATTTGACTAAAGCAATATAAATTTTGTTACGGTAGTTAATGGATAAATGCACCCGCTTGAAAACATGTTCATGCATTTCTCTGAGAATTACTGTACTTATACAAATACGACGCTTGACTTTTTTTATGTTTCTCTAGAATTGCTAGAAATTATTTTGATTGACTTTTTGCCGCGTAATGCTACGCTTTATTTTGCTGTAAAAAGTTGCCAGTGCGAAGAATACACAACTCTTAAGATTATTTTGTTTTTATGAGAATCCAATACATACAATTGGGTATAATTAAGAATTTGTATACTCTGTTTACACTCGTAATTAACGAATCTTATGTTAGCATAGATTTTGTTGCTATTTTAACCAATATTTGGAAATACATAGTTGCAACAGCGTAAACGTGGTGCTACATGCATCAAAAATAATTAGCAGAGATAAGAAGTCGAAATATTTAGTATATAATGATGCTTTCGAATATATGTATATACAGTATCTCATATATTATTTAATTTATCGCTAATAAATTATTAATTAGGAATATTCGCTCTGTCTTGCAAAGTTATTGCACTAAGGTTGCAAGAGTGCGGGAACAGCTATGTTGTAGAATTGTAATATCAAAATGAAACAGCAGTTTTTGCATTTTACTACATCCACATAAGAAGCATCTGATGTCGAAAAAGCTGTTTTTTTTCGTTTCGTTGCAAGCATATGTATATACATGGGCTTACTTATAGCAAGATTGAAAGATTGTCCACTGAAAGCTCGAGCAACCTGTGCATTTCATGCACTTTGCAATGAGTCTGTGAGAGAGTGAAAATCCCTATTGTTTAAGCTAAAGTCTTATATAAATTACATTTACAACATTTATCTCTATAAATGCGTAATAATTAGTTACATGTGTTCCGTAATCCTGTGTAATGCAATGAGTCTGTGAGAGAGTGAAAATCCCTATTGTTTAAGCTAAAGTCTTATATAAATTACATTTACAACATTTATCTCTATAAATGCGTAATAATTAGTTACATGTGTTCCGTAATCCTGTGAACTGATTTTGATATAAACTATGACTGCAACGACTGAAATTATAATTTCTCACCATAAGTTGATAAATTACAAATTTAAATGAACATTAAAAATTAAATTTTTATAAAATATTAATTTCTAAATAAAGTGAAAATCCGGCATTGAATGTGTCGCGCTCTCTTTGAATATTTATTTGTTTTATTTTCCAATGTAGGTGGATCACCTAAAGCACTTTTTTCGAATGCAAAATGAACAAATTTCAAACATTGTACTGTAAAAGTCAAAAATTGAAACTAGTAATCAATGGGCAGGCAGCCATAAGAAGATAAAAGGCTTGGTATTTATACAACAAACATATCTAAGTCAAAATTGAACACAAGTGAGGGGGGATATTTTGCTGGATAGTTATTGCTGGTTGTTTGCTAATTATTGCTGCCTAATGTTGCTGATATATATAAGACAAAATTCTGGCAAAATATGTTATTAAAGTACAGTTTATCATTTATAAAAACAAAAAATTAATATAATTAAAGTAAATTGGTCTTCGGAAATTACAAATAGTAAATAGAAAATATTTACTAGAAAATATATAGTTATATTATAATAATATGTATAGTTACAATGGGTATAATAGATGTTCTAATACTTATTTAGATTTATGTAAAAAATGTTTCAAACATTATTTTTGGTTCGTTCAAGTATGTAACTGTAGTGAAACATAGTAGAAGTATACTCGGATCTTATTTTGTGTTTGCTTGAAGATACAGAGTTGTTGAGAGCAAGCTGGCATTTAATATTGTAATGGACTCACACAAGAGTTTTATTTGTAATTTTAAATGTCAAACATTTTTGTTTTGCATTGAAAACAACAATAATTGACAACTAAAATTACAAGCATGACAGCTAGAATTATAAACAAAACTCTCGCGTGAATCCAATATAAAACTGATTTGAATTCAGGTAAACGATATGATGATGAAATCAGAAATTCAATTTGAGAAATGTTTTCCATTTTTTTGTCTACGAGTGACTAAAGTTTATGATAGGGAGATTATGAGATAGAAGGAAAGTGGAAGAGAGATATTTCTTGACAATATAATCTACAGATAATACATTGTAAAAACATTGCCCATGTCTCCGTCAAAAAGACAGTATCCGATGCTCCGATAAAACCAGTATCACTACGTCTATTTATTTTTTTATGTATATATCTATTATTTTTTACATTTAAGTTTTGCTAATTCTGTGTTTATAAAGTAAGCGAACGATCATTTTTAACAATTATAAACAAAAAACATATGTTCAGAATTAAGATTTTTTGGTTAAGTGGCATCATCGTTTTGAATTGCACATGACAAGCGAAACTATGAAGAAACATAAACTGCAATTATAAAAACGGTAAAATATTCGCGAAAATATCAAGTATAATATTCAAAATATCGATGAAAAATATAAAATATATTAAGAAACGGTGCCGGGCTACCCAAATAAATATTTTATTTTCTATTATCCATAAAGTTAATTATTAAGCAAGATGATGCCCTTTACAATGCTATTGTTTTGCTTTTGCTTGGCCAGTGCTGTTGATCAATTATTACAACCGAGTGAAAAAATAAATTTCAATGCACAGCAAACATCAAGTCAAGTGGAAAATATATTTCCAATAACATCACTTAAACCAAATGGAGATCAAATCTTAAATATACGTTTTGACCCCCCACATCTGGACTTTGGTGTTATATCAGTTGGTACAGCGCAATCACACACAATCACAGTTATTAATCAGCATAATCGTAGTGTGTATTTGGGTTCGGTCTCAGGTCAAATTTCATCATTTTATAGCAGCTTTTTTGAGACAAAGATCATACCTCCACAAGGAAATACTACATTTAATGTAGTTTTTCTACCTCGTGAAAGTGGAACACTACAGTCAGTTTTACATGTACATAGTTCATTTGGCTTAGCTAACTTTTCCGTTCGTGGGGTGGGTACTGAATGTCCATACAAATTACAGCCAATTGTAGGCGTTAAAGCTCCGCTGAATGCCACGCTTACCCCAGAAATACATATGTTCAATCCACATAAGCATACAATGCAAATAATAGAGGTAACAACTTCCTTAACTATAACACATTTTTCTAGTGTATATGTTACAGGTGTACAGTAGTGGTGGGCAATTTCAATTAGAATTACCTAGCGGCGGACAAGAAGGACCTCAAGCCTTATGGGAAATACCGCCATATTCCACAAAGCCAGTGATACGTATAAGATTTCATGGAAAGAATGCCGGTAATCACACGGCGTATATACGTATAAAAGTGCTGGAGCAGCCGAATGATTCTGTAGCTCCAGTTGAAAATGTTTTTGTTATTCCCGTTGAATTTGAAATTCAACAGGAGAATGGACTGTATGCTGAAAACCCGGTAATTGATTTTGGGCGCATTGTAACACAAGATACAACGCCAACAACAGTGAAACTTAATTTACGCAATTCGGATGAAAATAGTCCTTACGAGTTAGTGTATCATGATCTTCATAATATTAGTGGTTTATCTTTTAATATAAACGATACAAGCATTACTCTTGATCCAATGCTGTTGGACAAGTCTTTTAATTTTAAGCTTGCTTTACTGCGTTCAGCTTTGAAACGCAACGTTAGTCACATTCAAGAATTTTCGGTTTTGATACGTGCAGATGTTTTTAAAGGCACGCTTTCTTTTAATCGTAATACAACAATTTTTATAACCGGTGATAAAGATGTTTATAAAGAAAGAAAACTTATTGTGCGAAATGAATTCAAAACACCTTTACTCGTTTTGAAAAGCAGTGTAGAGAGTAATATAACCAAAATTTTTAATATAAATCAAAGTCATAGTAAGTATGACGTTGTGCTGAAGCCAGGTGAATCATTGGAACTCATGCAGCTACAAACTAAAAACCTTAGTAATAACTTTCGCTCTATGTTAAATATATATACTAATGTAACTCGTTTCGAAGTGCCTTTATTAATATGTACTGGACAGCTCCATGTGCATACGCAAATTTCGGGTCGTTTTATGTTAAAACCTGAATATAATACTGATCTTAATTTGGGCTTGGTGCCTTTGGCAGAAATGTCACAACCAGGTTATATTGTTTTACAGAATAAAAATCCAATACCAATTAAGGTAACGAATTGGGACTTTCAAACAAAACGTGGCATATACTTTCATACCACATTTATGGGTTGTGCGAAAATAACGAGCTTGAAAAATGAACAAAACATCGAGAATGTCAAATATTACTTTTGTTCGCAACTTAACGAAAATGAAGTGGCAGTTTTTGAATTAGCTATACAATCCTATATAACGGAAAATAAGCCTTTAGATGCCACATTACAAATATGGACACCATATGAAAATATAACAGCAACTGTTAGATTTAAAACAATGATCGGCGATTTAGAAGTGGATCAGGAAACAGTTTATTTTAAAAATTGCTTCCCGGTAATATTATTTATAGTTTGTAATGTTCGTTTTATATAGTAATTATTTATAACATTTCTAGGGCATGCTATGTTCATCAGATATAAGTATACGATCTACATTTCAATATCCAATACATATAACGAGTGTCAATTTTACGGATCCAAGTATGCATTTCGAAGATTTTAACCCTAAAGTTGCAGTTATTGATCCCGGAGTGTCTACAAAAATTGGTCGCCTCTATTTCAGCCCAGCAGAAATATGCAAGCATATGTGTTATATACCGCAAGACGAGAGAACAAATTCGTTAGATTTTTTATCTACACAGCCTCTTACGAGAGAGTTGAATAATAACCCTTATTTTGATGAAGGAGAACTTAGAAGACGTACAGAATTATATCGGCAGTTTAAAGCAATCCTACAATCAATTTCGTTTAGAGTGAGTACACAAGAAAAACGACAGTTCGTACTACAATTAATGATCGATATTGTATGGCCAAAATTGGTGTCTGGACCACAAACACTACCAAGTGTCGAAATTAACAAATCTCGTAAAACAGCAATCGTTATTAATAATCCTGCTAATAAACCGATACTGGTTGATTTTTTCTTATCAAATCCAAAATTCGCAAAGCTTACACGTTCATCGTTACCGCTTGAGGTAGTAGTTTTACCAAAAAATTGCCATTTGACAGATCAGTCAGTATTTTCATTATCCGAACTGTCAACTAAGCAACCTGTACTAATTCCAGCTTATGAAAATATAACTGTCACAATTACATTCACTGCAACACAAACGGATTTATTTTGCACTTTACTACATATTCGAAATAATTTGACGTTGTATGAGGGAGTTTGGATAAGCGCTAAAGGTGTGCAATCACAATTTCGTTTTGGAAATCGGAAACCAGGCTCCACAACGCCTTTGCTCTTCGAAGTAAATGAAAAACATTTGTCCTCTTGCTATCAACAAATGCAACCAACAACAACAACAACAGAAGTTAGTTTTCCGGTGAATATTAAGAGAACTTTCACAGCTCGCAATACAGGTGAAATTCCAATATTTGTTGAAACATTTTTTGTCGAAGGCCAACAATGCATTGGATATGGATTTAAAATAGTGGACTGCACTAGTTTTGAACTTGCACCTAATGCGTCTAAAAAAATTGAAATATTGTTTAGTCCAGACTTTACTATAGCACGTATTGCAAAGTTATTGGTAATAAAAACAAATCTTTCCTACAATGTCAACTACACATTATTGGCACAATTGCCTACTGATAGTTTAGAGCTCTGCGGAAAATTGATCGCTCGACCTGAATGGGAGACACAAGTACGGTACGCTGCTATAATTGTTATATTAAGCAGCTTGGCGATGGTGGTCTTTGCGGTACATTTGGATTTGTATAAAATTTTCAAAATACAGGATGCTGTGGCAAAATCTCGCGATAAGGGACCTGTGCATCCTACTTTTAATCTGCGGAACATTGGTATAAAGTCGCTTACTCCAACAGATGATTCGGGTTTAGTAGTGGTAACAAAA